TGTGTGTGTGTGAGTTTGTGTGTGTGTATGTGAGTGTGTGTGTGAGTTTGTGTGAGTGTGTTTGTGTGTGTGTCAGTATATGTGAGTGTGTTTGTGTGTGAGTGCGCGTGACTGCGTGTGTGTGTGCGTGCGTGTTAGTGCGTGTGTGCGTGTGTTCATCTGCTCTAGCGTGTGTGTGTGTGTGTGTGTGTGTCTGCTGTCTCCAGCACTATCCAGGGCTCAGGCCTGCAGTCCAGACACTTCCTGTATGTCAGCGACGTCACAGACGCCTTCCTGACACTCATGGAGAAGGGCATTCTGGGAGAGATCTACAACATCGGGAGCAGCTTTGAGATTCCCATCATTCAGCTTGCCAGAGAACTAGTAAAGATGGTAGGAGTCACATGACCAGCTCAGTGTTAGATTAACCGTTCATAATCAAGAGTAATTCACAATCAACTGTTTGCTGTCGACAGAAAGTGAAGGACGTCTCCGAGGAAGTGCTGGAGGACTGGATGGAGTTTGTTGAGGACCGGTGTGTGATGAATGTGTGCTGTCATACTGTATGTTTGAGATTGATATTAATAAATTAATGTTCATAACATTTCTGCAGTCCCGTGACGGAGCTCCGGTATCCCATGATATCAGACAAACTGCACAAACTCGGCTGGAGACCCAAAGTAACCTGGAAGGAAGGAATCAGACGGACCAGTAAGAGAGTCCAGATGATTCTGTGAGTGATGATGATGATGATGATGATGAAGAAGAATATGACGTGTGTCTCTGTTGTTTGCAGTACAGTGGTATGAAGAGAATCCAAACTACTGGCCGTCGATCCGTGAGAATGGAGAGGAATCGCCAGCGTCGTGTGATCAGACGCCGTCACATGCAGTGCCTTATCACATCAGATAATGACGTTTATTAACTGATTTATACAGTATCTATGCAAGATTGTCCAGCAGCTCCTAAACAAAGTGCTACTCAGTGAAGACTGGTGATGTGAATGTGATGGAGGATTGTTAGAGACTTTATACTCTAAACATCATCATAAAATGCCACAGGATTAAAGAGGACCAAAAGTTATGATATGAAAT